TCCGTCCGTCCCTAATTTGAAATCCATGTAATGCAAAACGAAAATTCAACTTTGCGTGGCCTAAACTTAAAAAGTGGAATAATAGCATGGAAAGTTCAGATGATGCAAATGAAATTAAAAAGTAGGTCTTGAACTCAGATAAAATAATGAAAACATTACCGACTATCTCACCACAACATCCCAATTTTATGTATACGAGCAAAATTATCAACACTCAAAGAATATCACGTGCAAGTAAAGGTATTTATATTAAAAATTATAGATATTATTCATTGATTTAAAACTAATTATACTATTAGCAGTTTTAGCAAGTGTACTTATCGATTCTACTAAAATTCCTGTTGGTAAGTACTTAACATTCAATATTTGCAATTAAATAAATTTATTACTTATTTTGAATTTGTATTTAGATTTTTGATTTAATCGCTTTAAAGATATAAGCTTATTTTATTCATTATTGATTAATTTGATATTTGTCAAATGTTACTAGGATATATATCAGTCAAAGATATTTATTTATAAATACATGCTATTTTATTTTTTGCTTTTTTATTTAAATTAAATATCATATAGAATTTTTGAAAGTCTTATTTCACATAATATGTATATTAAATAATATGCATATTAAATAGGGAATTGCTATTCGTACCCCCCGTTTTTGCTACCCGTACCCCCAGATATCAAAAAGTGCTTCAAAATAGATATTTTTATCAAATAAACCCTTCTTTTGATCTTAATAAAAGTTGTTCATTAGGCCTTTCCGGTTCTAATGGTAGTAAAATTATTAAAATCTGACTAGTAGTTTTCAAGATATATATATCCGAAGTTAGTTAACTTTCATATACTTTTTTAAAAAAACTATTAGTTCGCTTTTAATAATTTTACTACCATTAGAACTGGAAAGGCCTGTTGAACAACTTTTATTAAGATCAAAAGAAGGGTTTACTTGATAAAAATATCTATTTTGAAGCACTTTTTGATATCTAGGGGGTATGGATAGCAAAAATGGGGGTACGAATAGCAATTCCCATTATTGATCTAACCTTAAAACCTTGAAGTTTGGTTTTAATCAATATAAATTGATTAGTTTGAGTACAAAGACTGTTTAATATTTTACTGTACTAAAAATTAACGTATTTCTGATACTTAATGCTTCATACAATTTAACAATAACGATAACATGCATTTATTGTTGTCACTTATGCTGCTACAAGCCTAAAGCTAGCTAATTTAAATTATTTTTATTTAGTGGCCTGTTTGTGCGATATACGTACAGTACATTACGATTGTTCGATAATTAATATCCGCAAATTTTTTAGCTTCATTGACAGTCGCTCATAGACAACTTGATTCACAGAAAATTAATTTACAAACATAGACTATTTACTTTGCTGACAGCTTATCTCACAGACAAAGTTTAACTCTAATTCCAAACCTAACCCTAATGACGATGACTAGAATTACTTTGTTATGAAATAAACTGTCATGAAATAATTTTTTATTGAATGAATTTGTTTGTGAATTAATTGTCTATATATATAATAATCTTGTGAACTAAGATATCTGCGGAGGAATGCCTACAAAGCAAGCAACATTGATCTATTATTTCAAATCTTGTTTATTTTAATAAATTTATTCAACACATCTTTTTGGACATATTGATAATTCTCTATTTATTTAAATTCATTTTTTAAAAGTTGCATATTAGCGTATAATTTGGTCTATAATTATTATAATGATGTAATAATGCTATATATGTGATCTAAACGAAACTTCCCAAAATTAGTTTAGAAAAATAATAATCCAAAACTAAAAAAAGGTGTTTAGTTTCAGCTTTTCGAAACCTAAAACTTTGAAAACAGTAGAGCTTGAGAAAAATAAGAAGTCACAGGTATAAATAATACCTTTTATAAATTTGAAAATATTTAGCATTCAAATTTATTAAAGTTTGTATACTATCTTTATATCCGTTACAAGTAATTCAAAACATGTTTTATAATAAATGTTAATATATATATATATATTTATATAGAATTTAATACATTATAGTTATCAAAATGATTTAGGGCAAGTGCTACAAATAGGAGAAAAATTATTTTCATGTAAGACAATATCAATAAAATCTTTGTAGTAAGCTTAAGTTCGCAACTTTCTTATGTATCTATTATGAAATTTATAACTGAAATTTATTTTTCAAAATTTTTTTTCTTTGTTAATTTCCTCTTTTGTAGCACTTAGCCCACTTGACTAGCTATACATGTAAATATAATTATAATAATACTGTCTGAGACATTAATATAAAAATCAAAATGTTTGTTAAAATATAGAGTTATACTATTGTTATTATATCTATGCAAATGTTATAACAAGAATAATGTGTAATATAAAAAGAGAATTGGCTGTTCATAATTAGCTCCATCCAATATTCTATAAAAATGAAGATTAAAAGTTATTTCATAATAGCTTAAAAAAGAAAATTTTTATTATTTTAAAAATATATACATATTTACATTTATATGACCTAATAATATAAAAATAATAAATAAAATTTAAGGTACAATTTATTATAAAATTATATTGCATTATAAAAATTAAATTATACTTACATTCTAGTAAGTTATATAAATCTAATAAGTAACGTAACTGTATAAGCACTGAAAATTTATTTTACTTACCGCCTAAAATTTAAATAGGAAATTTAATAAAATATAAAATAATAAATTTAATAGAATATAAATAAACAAAAAAATAATACTTACAAGCTAAATATAAAATAATAATTTAAACCAATTAAATTATATTAATGAATTTGCAGAATTGGATTAAAATTATAAAATCTTAAAAAATAATATTTATAACTTTCAAAAAATTCAACTCTGCAAATCTGTTTATATGTACAAAAAATATATATTTATAATGAAATTTATATTTACCACCTGATATTTGATAAAAATTTATATTAATAAAAACAATTAAAAATTTTCCTATATCACAGGCAATCATTACTAAAGTAAATATTTAATAAAATTTTTTGGTAAAAGCTATATTTGTTTAAACTTGTTTTTTTAGCATACAAATTTTCTCGTTGGATAGTTAATAAAACCAGTAATAATTGCCTGTTGTAAATTAAAAGTATATACTTACATTCTGATAATTTTACAAATAAATTAATTGAAAAAAAATTGACATTCAAAAAAATGAATTAATAATAGTTTATACTTACTCCCTAGTAAATTTAACAAAATTTAATAAAATTAAAATATTAGAATTATAATTTTAAATTAGCTAATAGATATATTAAAAATTTTTATAAAATGACTTACATCCTAATAATTAGGAAAATAAGTTAATCAATTACAAGAAAAAAAATAACCAAGTATAAGTACTTTATACTCACCACCTGTTAATTTACATGATGCGATAGGTTAATTAAAATGGTTAAATTATAAATATAAATGATTAAATATCATATATTACTTACATCCTAAAAAATATAGAAGAATTAGTTATACGATTTAAAAATAAATAATGTAGATACATTATACTGTACTTACCACCTGAAATTTACAAACATGCATATATTTAATTAAAAGAATAATTTATTGCTGTAAAATTGATCGAATATTATACAGTAAATAAATTTAGTATAGGAGCTTTATACTTACGACCTGATAAAGTGTAAATACATTATAAAAATCAATAAAAAAAAAACAAAGACTCATTATAAAATTATTAAATTGTTCTTCAGTACTTACATTCTAAAAAAATAATAAAAATAAGATTTCTATTAAAAAGTAACTACAATATACGTATAAAAATTTTATAAAACAATATATACTTACTATCTAGCATCAAATAATATTGCAAAATTTAAGTAGCTATTAAGAGCTATTAAAAAGAAAACATTATCAAAGAACTATATACTCACGACCTAGAAAAGTTAAAAAATCATTATTGTAGTATTCTATAAATTTGAAAAGTTCATGACGATCCCGTATACGTTAGCACGGGAAATAAAAAATAAATAAACTTGAAAAGTAGATCCAAAGAAAACCTTTCGTATATCTTTAAAGCTTTGAGTAAAGCTACTATGATAATTCTACACAACATCTGAAGGTCTGGATCTATATCATAAAGCTTCCTTTTCGTATTACTTCATACTTACATTCTTTAATTAAGTAAAATTATAAAATTTACGTTAATAAATACTAAATCTCAATAAAATAGAATAAAATAGAATAAACTTATAATGATTTATGCTCACTTACTTTCTAATAATTAAATGGATATACAAAATTGACATTATTTAATAAATAAAATACGCAAAAATGTATTAATAAAATTAATAGAATTAATTATTATAATTACCATTAGAGCTCCAACGATATGTGGTAGCATAACTTTTGTTTGGAACCGAGCCCAAAGAATCCCACTCGGATGAAGCAGCAGAATTGTTATTCCATCTAGATGAAGAAATCGAATTGTTATTTACAACCGATTCACAATCAGATGAATTAGGTGAATTTCTAATTGTGGCCGAATCCCAGGTAGTAGAGCTTTCGTATGCAACAGAATCCCATTCAGCTGCGGTAGCAGGATTTTTGAATCTATTTTTTCTTCCCTTTCTTGCTTTTGATGCAGTAATAGAAGTAGTTTGATTCTCATTTATATCAGGAGTTTCTTTTGGAGGTAATTCAATAGTTTGGGTTACTCGAGGAGGTAAAATAGTTGAAGAAATAGGCTTATTTGGAGCCATAAATCTTGTCATAATATCTATCCATAATTCAGGTTCGAGGATTTGATGATATGGTTGTACTTTTTCAAGGACATCTTCACCAGCAATTTGAAAGTATCGGATATGGGGTAGGCAATTTTGGAGAGTATCTTTTAAAGTTAAAAAATTAGCATCAGTCCATTTTTTCGGATTAGAATCTAGGTCTAAATCTTGAGCGATTCCCCAAGTAATAACTTTATCCCAAATTTTTCCTTCATCAATTTTTATGTTATCGAGTTTCAAGAAAGAGACCAAAGCTTTTTCGGAAATGTTTGTAAAATCTTGAGAATCAAAAAGAACATTTGGATGTTCGGCAATAATATTATTACAAAATTTTTGTAAAATTTCAAAACTATCACTTTCGAAACTCATTTTATAAACTTTAGCAAAATTCATATGCATCCAAGATGAATGATTCTTAACCAATCGTGCTTGAGAAACCTTAACCAATTCTTCGAGACCAAACTGGTTAGCGATATTTATGAGATCGAATATTGTAGATTCATCATTATCAAATGAGACGAAACCACCATAAATGTACCTATATAATTTAATAAAACTCATCAATTTATATTATAAATTAAAAATCTAGTTTACAATATGTATTATATAAAAATATAGCTTACGTGATAATAATTTTGAAAACTTTAACAGAAATATCCGGTTTACAGATTTTTTTAACATTATCTTCGTCAAAGCTTATCTTGCTTAACTCGTCACGAAAATAAGAACACCTAGACATCAAGATAACTGAATGGGCCTTAAATACTTGACTGTTACTGTTAGATGCATCATCGACATCACCGACATCACCAACTTCACCGACTTCAATTAACACATTAGAATCTTCTCCGCTCTCAAGAAGATTTGTTAAATCGGTGGAAAGTTTTTTGTAAAATCTTGTATCCATTCTTAGATGAAGTATAAATGAAAGGGTGATGGAAGTTAAAAAATAAATACGTACGGAGTTCTGCCTTAAAAACCTTCATTGGCCAATCAAATTTCAAGATCAGGTGTAGCTTTTAAAGGAAACTCGACATTTTGCATAAGAAAGTGCCTTCTGCGCATTAATAAAAAGTTTTCCTTGAGTAATTTTAATATTAATAAGCTTTTTCCAACCTGATCTAATAATGTCATCAACTTTTAAAGTAATCTGACCCTAATCTTACAGCGAAATTTTTTTGGCGGAGTTTTTTTATGTTAAAGATAACGCTAGGACCATTTTAGGTCATATCCAATTTCATATGACCAAAATGGTAATAGCGTAATAATAAAATTTTAAGTTATAGTAGGTCATAAGGTCATGTCTTATGTTTAGCCAATAGATCATAACAGGTTATAGGCCAATACTGCAGTAGTGTCTACTTCCGTAAAAGCGAACAATGACCGGATAACCCTTTATCCGTATGGTTGTTACTTTTTAAAAAACTATATGAGGAAAATTTTAGGTTTTAATCTGCAGATGACCGGATAATCCTGTCGATAATAGGATAGTCATAGATATTTAAATAACTATGCAGATAACGGATAAACTGGATACGTATAACTATTAAATTAAGCTAAACCAGAGACTGAAAACCTGTTTAAGAATAATCATACGTATCGCTATACTGTAACACTACTGTAACACAATCGCGCAAGCTTAAATGTCTTTATTGTCCGGAACGTAGCGGAGGACACTTTGTTTTTACGTCTATATTCTTAAGAAATTATATTGTATGTTAACTAATATGATGATCACAGATACGTAATAATAAGATAAAGTTTGGGATAACGATGATAAACAAATTATAAATTAGCTTCCCTTTTACACAAAGATGCGTGTGAAATTAATTTCAACGTCAATTTCACCATAGGGTGATTGTTCTAGCTGAATTTCACTAGCACTATCAATAAAATATTTAAATCAAACTGCGCATTTTGCATTTTTACCATATAAGTTTTATCTTACCAAAAAATATTTTTATTCTATAAATATACTAATAAAAATATTTTTTTCGTTATCGTTATTACTATATTAAAATTAATCATGTGACAATCTTAAATTATGATTTTCTCAAAATCACATGATTGTCCCAATGCCCCTTTTGTTACGTATCATGCGATTATAAAAATATGTTTACTCATAATATGATATCCTTAAATTAATAGGTCGTATTTAGTTGAAATAGTTTAGCTGATCAAGTGAGTTCATTACGCAATGTAAAAAAAAAAAAGAAGATAGTAGAGACCATCTTTTTTTATTATAAAGTTGTGCTTAAAATTTAATAATCGCATTTCGCAATATGAAACTTCAAAAGATTGCTGTAAGACGTACGTAGTATTTTATGCACGATCTCGATTACTAGCCAATCGCACATTAAGAGAGCTGCTTGAGAGCACCATCAACTAACTCTTTAACTCCTGCTATATCGAAAAAAATAAAAAGGTAGTCGTGTTTTTCAAGCTTTCTTTTCGTTATTCGAAACAATTTAAAATTTAAAATTTATGTTATTATATTATACCCAGACCTAATAGTATCACCGTCACAAATAGCGGTTAGTAAAAATTTTAGCTACAAATCATGTGCGTAAATTATCACTACATAGCAAAACAAGGGTGCTCTCAAGAACCTAAATTCTAGGTTGGAGCTCGATTTTTAGTTAGTGGAAAGTAGTTTAACCGATCAAATAAGTTCATTATTGCGATGGTCTCTGACCATCTTTTTTTTTTATTAGAGTTGTGCCGACTGGCTAAAATTTAATATTCGCATTTCGCAACATGAATCTTTAGCAAAATTATCGTAAAGATTACTTAAATTAATCGTTGTACTTTATCATTAGTCAATCACATAGAAAGAGATGCTTGGGAGCACCCTAAGTTAGCCAAAATTATGGATCTTAAATAGTCAGATCGTTATCCAGTCTTTTTAATCACATAGTTTATAATTAAGTTATACATTAACTAGCAGATTTTTTTTTTTTGTCGTTAGTGTTGATTTATTCTCTTCACATTATATAAATCTCTTTTAATCAAAAATACTTATGAACTACATGATCATTTTGACCATTAGATCATAGACTTTATTAGTACCTTTATAAGAATATTTAATCGGCTCCTCCTTATTTATTAACTCGATATTATACTTCCTGTAAATTAAAACTACGAGCAGTTTTAACTCAATTAATATGACATTTCTTCCAGGACATTTTCTTAAACCTCCGCCGAATGGTACAAAATCATCCTTCCTCATCTTAAACTCGCCTGTGCCTCCGTGTTCTTCACTAAGAAATCGATCGGGATTAAACTTTCTTGGTTTATTCCATTTAATAGAATTATTCATTATTTGATGATTATCAATCAAAAACCATGTTCCAGATGACCAATGATATTTATCCGTGTTTTCTTCACCTTCAAGAACCCGTATATTGTATGGTGCAGGAGTTGTATGGCGTAATATTTCTTTGATCAATGCTGCTATATAATGACATTTATCAAGATTTTCATAAGTTACAACTTTGTTTGTGCCTGAACTAAAGATTTCGGTAATTTCTTTGCGAATTTTTTCAAGGATTGATGGATTTTTGGCAACATTATAGATAAGAAAATAAAGTGATGAACTGGTCTATTATCAAAATATTAGTTAGTACGTATTCATATATTTAATTTTGATTAACAAAATATTTAACAAGTACCGTTTCAATAAAAGTAGAGGTAATTTCGGCAAGATTAATTCTAATTTCTTCATTATCCATAGGTTCTTCACCTTAAATATATTCAGAATCATCATTATGTGAATTAGAAATTAACAATAGGTCCAGTAAATTAAAACTTATTGTTGATCCATTTGCTATTTCATCTCTTCGTTCTTGAATCATATGGTCTAATGTCCCATTCAAAAATATGCTATTCTGCTTCGAGGTTCTAAATCCAAGATTCAAAACGATATTGCTTACACATTTTGGTACAAACATCAAGAAAGCAAACATGGCTACATATTCTGCTGCTGCTTTAGAAATTGTATAAATTGATGCTGTACTATATGATAGTTTTTCAATGACTGTTTCAACAGTTATTTGCGTTTTGTAATGGCTCACCCATGTAGGGAAATCCAATATAACACCATTATCCCATTGTTTTTCAAATTCTTTAAATAAATTTTGAACACTGTCTATGAATCCAAGATGGTATTTTTTTGACAACAAAACCTTAGTAACAAATTGTCGGTTTCGTTTCCACTTATGAAAATCATTGTTAAATATCGTGCCTTTTATCATGCCAATATCATCAGAAGCTGCAATACTGCGTTTAAAAAATTTTGATTCTCTTGATAGGCACTTTGATTCATTATATGACAGATATATTTTATCGAGATATTTTGCGTCGCCTATCGCTATAACTCGTAGATGACCAATGTAAAATTCCCAGATTCCATTTCCTTTAGAATATTTTATGTTTTTTTCAATCCAATTATGAGGGTTTGTGCCAATTTGAAAAAGTGTACCAATAAATGGTAACGGAAACGGGCCATAAAGAGGGTTTGGACGAGTAAAATAACGAAAGTAAAAGTATGTAATATATAAAACAAGAAATATTTCGATAAAAGTTAAAATTGACATTATTTTAAAGTTTTAGCAACCCCAAAATTTTAAGCTAATTTTCAGATAAAAATGTTTATATAACGATAGCGAGCAATAACACCTGTTTATTATTATTATTATTATTATTTTGTTTATTTATTAGTATTAGGGATTTCAGAGCTAAGGTTCAGGTTTCTGATTTCAAATTAAATTAGGACGGATTAATTTTGTAATCAGTGATCTATAAATCCTATGTATTTTTATTTGCAAGCCTATTTATATAATAAGATATAATACACGCCAAGGGAAAATGGGACATTGATTTATAGTGGATAATTTATTTAAATAAACCAGTGTCCCATTTTCCCTTAACACCACTCATACATCATAAAAAAAAGGTTTGCTTATTCTACGGATAACTCTGTTTTTATTTTCTGGTATTGCAATTTCAAAATAAAAATAGGACTTTTCAAACTCCCGCTTATTTTCAATATAAGTTAACCCTGAAACCCCCCTATTATTGTTATTATTTCTTTGGTGTTTTCTTTTAAATTTTCCATTTTGGTCATTTTTCTTTTTTGCCATTCGCTCTTAAATAAGAAGACTATCACAGAAAATCTTTAGAGAGTGAAATAACGGATAAGTGTATCGAAAGAAATAGAAAGATTGCTGTTCATTAAGGCGAATTAGCGCGTATCTGTACGTTATTTCTGGTACGTACCTGGTACGTAAGTACGTTGTAAAGGTGAGAAATAATCCGGAGTCACGAAATATAGGTCTCCCGGATATCAACTACCACTAAAACTAATCAAACCAACACACTAAACAGCTGAACTCTATCAACCCTAATGGTGGAAGGCACGATCGAGGCGTGGAAAAACTTGGTCCGAGTTATTAGGGTCGAATAGAGCTCTGGATTACGTCACGAGGCTCTACTTCGGAATCACGTGTTTTAGACTACTAACTCTATGCGAATTTGATTTGTCGGGGGGGTAATTGGAGCGAACTTTAAAGTCAAAAGACTCTATATGAGTCAAACTTTAATGAGTTCTATCAACTCTCGCTCAGTTCTCCAAACTCTAACTCACTTTTATTGAAACGAAAAGATAGGTCTTAAATAGCTTTTGACCTTTGCTGCGTACATAGCGGATAAACTTTACTATCTTACATTAATTTCTAGTTTTCTAATTATAGATTCTATGCTACTAATAGATACATAGTGGCTATGTTCGCTATGCTATCTAACAAGTTTCTACTATGGGTTTTTCCGTCGCTATGTACAAAATGTACATAGTGTTATGTACAAAATGTACACGGCTTCTATGTACATTTTGTACATATGTACATAGCTTCTAAACCTAATATGCATCTGATCTACTATGTGCGAAAAAATTCATTCCAAGTCACGATTTACCCTTTTACAACGTACGTACGCCCATGTTTTGTTACACATCAAATGAATAATGCAACAGCTCTGCAGTTATAATGAAACTGCAAAGTTGCCCTGAATTTTTAAAAATTTGATTGGATATTTATGTAGTACTCGTATTACATCAAAAAATTACAATCAAACTATCTTATTTAAAATTTCTATATTTTATTTATATAAAAATCATGATTTTTCTAGTGATCTGGATTTGACGATTTTGGTACCATTCAATTGATCTTATTGAAACGGATCGAATGGTGCTCAAATCGTTACTAGATCACGAGATATTGGCATTTAAATAATATTTATAAAAATTTTATTGTTTCAATATCTAGTGGTTGGGGCTTGATTGTTTTAACACCATTCGATTCGTCTCGATGAGACGGTTCGAATGGTTCCAAAATTGTCAAATTCTGATCATTATTTCGTGAGATATTTACAAAAACCAATTTGTAGCACTTTTGTGCAGAAATTTTTTGTACATCCAAATCTTTTTTGCAGATATCTCGTGATCTAATGATCAGAATTTGGTAATTTTGATACAACCATCTCATCGAGACGAATCGAATGATGCCAAAATTATCAAATTCTAATCATTATGTAGCGAGTTAATTAAGTTATCAAGTTTTGTAAATATTATTTAAATATTAATGTCTCGTGATCTAGTAACCAGAATTTAACGTTTTGGTAACCTTCAATCCGTCTCGACGAGACGAATCATGCGGCGCAAAAAAAATTGTCAAATTTCAATCACTAGTTTACAAGACATTATAAAATTTTAAAATTTCTATAATATAAATTTTTAACGATTTCGTGATCACGTGAACAGATTTGGATTCATTGGAATCGTCTCATCAAGGCGGTCATTTAGGTGGTAAAATCATCCAAAACAGACCTGTCAATAAAAGTTATTCAATTTTAAAATATACAGATTTTAATAGTAATTTATCACATATAAACATAACCTAGATTATTTTATTAGATGTTGTGAATAATAATAATATCAAAAATGCTAAATTTATATAGCTACATTTCAGAAAAGTAGTAAAATTCTTTTTTTTTTCTTTATATAAACATGTGACTATTGGAAAATTTCAGAGCAAATTTGCCCTGAATTGTTAAATGGTTTAAGGGATAACTATAATTCTAGCTGATTAAATTTCGTAACCTACAAATTGCAAAAAATGGTAAAAATACGTTTAACATTTATTTTGCTGAACAAACTAAAATAAGAATTCATTTCTTACTTTGCAAAAAAAGTGTGACTCCATGATTTTTGTGATGAAAATTCTCAAATTGAAAAATCGTCTAATTTCCCGTGATTTTACGTGACATCATGATCTGAAGAGTCACACCTTTTCCCAAATCGTTAATTATTGTAGTTTGCAAAAAAGGTGTGACCTCTGCAAATCATGATATCAGGAAATTGGAAGATTTAGCAGATTTTTTGTTCCTCCAAAAATCTTATTGCGCTTTGCAAAAAGATGTAAACACTCCAGATCATTTTTTCATGTTTGAATCGGAGATTTTATAGATTTTTTGAGATTTTAAGAATTAAACTGATTTCAATGAAATATAAACATAACCAATCGAAAATATAAAGTATCATACAATCTGGAATATCAGTCATCACCGTCACTAAAATCACATGCTCACATCTTTTTGCAAAGCGCTATAAAAGATTTCCAGTAAATATAGACATTACTAATTGAAAAAAATATAAATCTACAGGAAATTTAGAATCATGGAATTTTCTTGCTATCATCAACACGAAAATCATGATGTCACACCTTTTTGCAAATCACAATTACTAAATCAAATCAATAAGGATGCGCCTATTTAGAGAATTTAAAAGTTTTATTAAATTAAAAATCAAATCAGATAAAGGATATACCTATTTTATATTATTATTATTATCATTTATTTATATATTTAATTTTAAGTTTGTGCACTTAACCGATTTTGATTGGTTATATCTAGAAAACGTGACCGAGTGTGGGGATTTTGGGGTTGTGCACTTTACCATTTTAGATTGGCTATATCCAAAAAAACGTGATCAATATGATCAAGATTAATTATGATGATGACTACTCTAGCCTTATCAATTTACGTATGACATTCTGGATTAAAGTTACTTATTAAAATTACTTGCTGATTACAGAATAGAGATATTCTAAATTAAAGTTACTTCTTTCTACTTATAATTTCTACTTGCAACAAACGAAATAGCTTTGAAAAGAATTAATAAAGTGTTTTTCTTCAAAAAGGCACAGGAATATACTTGACTTACTTCGTTTAAACAAGCTTGGACCTTTTTTTTTTCGGAGCTTGGTCGTTTTATCCCATTTAGTTTATTTTACAAATCTCAAAGAATGCCATTTATTCTAAATCAAGTTTTGTGTAAAGGCGTTACAGCTCTAGATCAAGGGCTTGATAGCTTCTGCTATGTTGTCGACTTCTTTTAATAGCAAAACAAGTAAAGCCGAGCTTACATTGGGTATATATTAAACTTTCCTGACTTTGACGTTTTTCTTTTGAATTTATTTTCTAGGAATTTCATGACTTAATGCGAGACCCACCTTTGCATTACAGCGCTGGTCCTATTGGAGAAGATCTTTTTCATTGGCAAGCGATAATTATGGGCCCCGTAAGCAATTTATGACGCCCGCTAGTAGGAAGCATTGGCCCCTATAGTTATCCGGATAAATGCTTAATGTATTAGAACTCTACCCGCAGTATTCATTGGATTATTTTAAATTATTAGAATTATTTTTACTTTCATACGCACAGACTGAATCTCCATATGCTGGTGTTGTATTTTTTCTTGACATAAAAATTCCTACATATTATCCATTCAAACCACCAAAGGTATCGTTTATCTCTAATAATATGTTATGATTGGGGCATTTGTCGAAAATAAATAAACGCATATATGTGCATTGTAAGGTTAAATTTATGACAAGAATTTATCATCCGAATATCAATATTAGTGGAGCTATATCCCTTGATATTTTATATATCGAATGGTCATCTGCTATTAACATTTCAAAACGTAGATATGCTCATTTATATTGTAACTGTTTCTTCTATGTAAATTCTAATACGTTAATAAGTATCCTTTGCAGTGCTTTGGTCAATTTTCTGGTTTTTGACTGATCATAACCCAGGTATATATCAAACTTATTTTATCAAACTTGTTTTTATCAAACATGTCGTGACGCATATTAAAGTAATTTTGAACTACTGCAGACTGTCCATTCTTCGAAAGAGAAATTACTCATATTTACAAGACCGACCGCGTCCGTTATGAAGCAACAGCACGAGAATGGACGCGCAAATATGTTAGTAATTAGATGATTACTAGTAAGATGTTAAAATATTTTTTGTCATGATTGATTAAATTCCATCTACACCATATTAGTGTAATACGATATAAGGGCCAAATGATGGCAACGTAAATATCTTGTTTATCCAATGATAAGGCTGATCACCCGACATCGGGTGATTAGCAAGCAATAAAAAAAATGCACTGTCCCGGGAATAAAAAATATTGCTGTAAACTAAAATCAAATCAGATAATGGATATACCCATTATAATCCCTGTCGCACTAAGAAACATTCATGACTACCTTCATTATTATTTTTTACACGTGATTAACCATACTTATAATAATCATATTGTGACCGGGAATCTCCCACGAAAGATTCCCGGTCTCATATTGATCATCGGGAAACTCTAATTTTTAACGCTTAATTTTAATTTGAATCATTTTCTTTTTTGTATTTTTCACATTTTATCTAAAGAACTTTAAAAGCCAAAGTAAATAGGCACAGTAAAATAAGCTAAAAAGACACGATAAGAGCAAAGTTAAAGTAAGAAGTTAAACGTAGAAGTAAAAAGCAAAGAGTAAAACAATAAAAATGATGTAAATAAAAAAAAAAATAAGCGAAGCCCAAAAGTTAGTAAACTACAATACGAATATAAATATGAACACGTGTAAAAATAATGGTATGGTAGTCCGATTAACATCTAGTGACACGCTCCTGGGGATTATTTATTTATTTCCCGTGGGGAAATTATAACAAAGGTTACCGATGATCATAGCACATGGATGGCCCTTCGGGCCATCCACGTACTATGATCATCGGTAACCTCTGTTGTAATTTCTACTCCCACAGGAAATAAATAATACTTATTTAATGCCAATCATAAAGAGTTGTTAGAATAATTATTCGAGTATTTGATGTTCATGCTACACGTGATAATTAGCTAAATTCACATAACTGCTGTTCTCAACTACTTGTCTACTTTCCATATGGCTTTTTTAATAAACTGCGCTAACTTACGATGACTAGAATTACTTTGTCTATAAAATGAACTCGGTTGTGAATTAATCATCCGTAAATAACCTTGCCTGCAAATTAATTGTCTGTGAACTAAAATTTCGGTGAGTTGGTCGGAATCGCCATTTCATCACCATATCTGTATTTTACAAAAAAGTACGTACGTACGTATCATTGATACGAACTTGTATAATTTTAATGTGCCCGACGCTAATCATAAACTTCATTGGAAGTGATCTGCTGCATGCCGACAAAAAAGATAAAAGGGCGTTAATTAATTAGGCCCAAACTTCACCATTATCTGATTTCATGATAATCTGTGGCATTCATTTATTGATTTCTTTATTTATTTGTTTTCTTACGTTATTGTCTTTCTTTCGTACTAAAGACAATTATTTTATTAATAAATCATTATTGTCTTATCTCTCTGCATTCGCTCAACCTACATTACGCATACAATTAATCTAAGATATCGATAAGTTATTTTCTTACCATTGTTAACGCTTATAGCAAGTGTCCCTAATTTATCTAAGAATTACCCTTCCGGAGTTGTCTTATTGTGAACACTTAAACCCTGCATTGCATAATCGTTCACGTTACCCTTCGTTCATTGTTCGTACTAACGGTTTACTTGTCTGCTATCAGAGTTAATTTGACCCCATAGCTTTTCGCTCTCCCAAACAGATAGTAAAAACGTAATTGTGACACAACACTTAAAATCATTATGTCAAATATTATAGTTGGTATTCCAAAAAAAGTTTAGATTTGATTTTAGCAAAATAATTGAATCATTTCGGTCTCTTAATACATATATAACTCAAGATGGCTATTCAAAAAATTATCGAAACTCTTAGTATCACAGATTATTTCCTCTTTTTTGGTTTAATCTTCGCTACTTATGTTTTTAGCTTTTATTATAAATACTTAACTCGCCCCAATCCACTCCCGGGTCCATTACCTTTACCATTGATTGGAAATATTCATAACGTTACCGATTTAAAACTGTTTTATGAAACATGTCGATTAAAATATGGAGATATCTGTGAAATATTGGTTGCCGGAAATAGATTTATCATTCTCTCACGTCCGGAATATATTGAAAAACTTATGTCTCCGATATGTTCAAGGAAGCTTCCATATTTTCAAGGTCTAGATGAACTTGGATTTTACGGACATGGGATTGTTTTTAATGAAAATGATAAGAGTTGGAAATATAATAGACAGTTTTTTACTCAAACATTATTGGCATCTAGGTTTATGGAAAGTGTTGTAAAGTCTGTAAATAAATTATTTGAAGAATTAAGCGGATACTGGCAATCCCTTGGAAAACAAAATATTTCAAATAATGATAATAACGATGATTGGACATTAGAAACCGACTTCTCTGCATGGTCTCATGCATTTACAAATGATATTATTTCAATAATAGCCACTGGTGAACGTACATATTCAATTGCTTCCTACTATAATATGCAAAGTGCTGTCAAGTCTGAGCATCCTGATGAGTTAGTCGAAGATGGGTATAAATTCGTCAGTGCATTAATAAAACAATTCGATTGTATCGTGTTTTTCATGCTTATTGGCCCATTCATGAGGTATTATGTTCCCATTATCAGAGATATAGCAAATTCTTACTTGAAAAACCGGGACTATTTGTATAGAAAATTGGATCGCATAATTAAAAAGAGAAGAAAAGAGATTGAAGAAATGCCTGTGGGTATAGAAATGAGAACAGATATGTTAACTTCCTTAATCATTGCAAACACTTAAAAGGATGTAAAAACAGCTAGTGGTGAGACTTTTGAGCCTATGGCCGATGAAGAGATCAGAAGTAATTTGTTAGATACATTCGAAGGTGGAACAGATACTGTAAGTAATACTGTATTTTTCTTATCTAATTGCTTATATTTTACTTTTATCATTTGCTTATTTATTAATATCTGTTTATCTATATTTAGACCGCTAACACTTTTTGTAATATAATCTATTATATTTGTAAACATCCAAATGTAAAACAAAAAATGATTTCAGAAATTGACTCTGTCTTTTCTAATAAATCATATTTAACAAGTGATGATTTCTTAAAGCTAAAATATTGTGAAGCCATAATCAAAGAAACTAGTCGTATTATACCGGTATTTAATTCTTAACTTGCTTAATTAATGAAGAGTGTGAAATTGCAGGATACAGATGGGCTGCTGATACATGGTTTCACTTAAATTATATAGGAGTAAATGGCCATCCAGAAATTTGGCCTGATCCTGATGTTTTTGATCCAGATAGATTTTATAATGTCGATCAAGATTATAATAATAAATTAGAAAATAAATATTCATTGATAATTTTTGGTGGAGGCCCACGAATCTACCCTGGAAGGAAGCTGGCAATGGGTGAGCTACTTTTATTGATGGCATTAGTTTACAGATATTATAACGTTGAGTTGGTCAATATGCATGAACCATTAAAAATTGTTACTGGACCGATTAACAATGTTCAAGAGTTGAAAGTTAGAATTAGTCCTCGAATTAATTAAGGACGTTTCAAGCGTCTCAATCAATGGGTCAAAGTATATGTAAGGTAGTTTATTAGGTGAATGAAAATTTTTTATAATAAAAAATGAATAGTGAGCTTAGCATTCAGTCAAAAAAAAAAAACTTTGCCCAAACCCATTTTTTTTTTTTTTAGCGCTGACTAGTCAAAACTTTAGAAATATAAAATGCTTAAAGTACTTTACAGAAACCTGTAGATTTTGTCAAATATATTTACAATATAATTATTATATGTTTACTAGATATAACATCTAACAAATATATAGTAAATATATATTTAAAATCTTTTAATCATATTGTAAAAATATTTTTTCTTTTCTATTAAGTCTTAAACAACTTGATTTTTACAATATATTTAAAATATAGTAACAATATATTAAAAATATAACTAATCTAAAATATAATCTATATATAATAAAAATATTATAAAAATATCATAAATATATAGTAAAAATATAGTAAAAATATAGTAAAAATATTTTATAAACATATTAAATTAATCTTTAAAATCTATTTAACATCTATTTAATTACTAACTCAGTGTTAATTAATAGACATAATGATAATTCCAATACATACTGTGCCATTCCGAAATTAAGCACCCTTTTTTTTGTTATAAGGAATGCTTATTTGAATATAATTTTTGAATTAATTAAGGGGATTTTACTAAGTAACTTATCTTCTGTTTATAAGTAAGGCTATTCTCAGGACCAAGATGATTCTAATAATAGTATATTTGTCAAAATTGATCTTGTAGAATATTTATATTTAATCTTCAAAGTTTGCTTGCATAATCTGCTGATCATGTAAAAAAAAACTAAACATTACCAGAACTTTGAGAAGCAATTGCAAATGATCTACCAGACCAATTTTTATGATTTTACTACTGTTGAAATCACCTTGGCCTGAAGAATAATTTAAAAACAAAAAGTAGACTTTGTAAAAATCTGATACGAGTATACTTATGAGGTGCTTATTTTTAGATATTATACAAAATTTTATAGTGCTTAATTTTGGGGAGTGTTTAATTTCAGAATGGTACACTAGCTCAATTTTAACTGTATATTGTGGTTATTGAAATAGCAGGTGAGTTCTGTAATGGAGCTTTACAATCATAATTCTAATACAACTAGCTCGACCTTAATCATATAAGAATTTCTGATAAAAACTAAATTTTAATCACAATTATAGTTATCAGGATAACAAGCAAGTTCTGTAAAAATCTTTCTAGTAGAAATTATAATAATTTTAAACCAACTTTAATTACAATATATATATATTAGAGAGTAAATTTTGTAGCAGAATTTATTATAGTAACTTATGATAACCCAATGCAAACTAACTCAATCAATGGAATTTTTATAATAAGAATTCTGATGCAAGCTAAATCACTATACACTTGGTAACTAGAATAGCAAGTAAGTTCTGTAAAGAATTATTATAATAGAAGTACTGCAATT